AAATATCTTGTTACAGCCTTGGAATTTAAGCTATGACGATACTGATGGTATATCTGGAAATAAAAGCTCATTACATCTTTTCTCACCACAGGAGCAGAGACCACATCCTGACAAAATGTCGTATGACTAATTTAATTTTTATGAGTGACTACTTAATTGCAATTTCTAAATAATTTTCCATGATGGTGTGCAATGCAATAGCTATTTCTTGGTTAAGCTTATGGGTTACATGCTCTGTTTCTTGGTTATGATTATGTTAATTCAGGATTAGGGGATGGGTAAGGCAGAGGGGATGCTTATCTGCCAAGTGGAAAAGGGTATTTGCCCTCATACTTTCTTCTCATTAAGAATTTGATTCCAAGTTTCTATCAAAAATAAGAAGTTCGAGCAACTGCAAAGCAGGGAGCAGGTATTAGCTTGGGAATTGAGATAAGCCCAGATTTCCAGTTACGTTCCAGTTCTGTTTATCAGGATCCACTTTATTCTCAGAGACCCCCCCCAAATGGTGCAATTCGTGACAGCGCAACCGGAAAGCAGTCCCTTGCCAGCCAGGCTAGGAGGTTGCCTGTACATCTGCCTTCATCCCAAATGGTCTCTCTTCTAACAAACTCCATTTCTTTTATAGCCCTGTCCCAGGTCACTGTGCTGTCTGATTAGGAGGGGTGTAAGTCTCACGATTTGAGGCACATCTTTATTAGATTTGTTAATATGTGCTAATGTGGGATCCACAGGCATAGTCAATATATAATCCCTCTTCCCTTTACATCTCTTCCCAAATTGTTAGTAGAAGTGGAAGAGGAGACAAAGACTATTGCTGTGCAGTAGTGATGGTGTGGTAGGTAGTTTGTCTCTTTTGAGCTGAGGACGGGACTTTGAGCTTTCCCTAGGTGATTTTACTTTTGTGTATGTGTGTGTAACAGCTCTAAGTGATTCTCTTTGGTAATAAAACTGTTAATATAATTTGCTTGTACATCATATTGTCCCTATTTATATGGTACAGAATGTAGAACTGTATCTATTAATATGTAAGTTCAAAGGGATAAAGAAACAGTTAATCATAAATATGTTTGCTGTTACTGAAACCAGTCAGGATTTTGCACTCGGTACAGTTGAAATGGAATAAAATCCTGAAAATACTGTGTTAGGTAAGCACTGTCTGGTAGAAATAAATATGGCAGGGCAAATCAAATCTCAGTTTTCTGAATTTGAAGATTAACGTTTAATTTTTTTAAAATAGATTTTTCTCATGAAGGTTTGAATCTTCTTAGATTCTGGTCACCAAATAGAAATTCAGATTGCAAAACTTCTGTGGTGTGTTATCTGATGAGACTGACAAAGTCAGTCTTGAAAGTATACAGAGATTTGGTTAAATATGTTTAGATTACAGAAATGAGTTGATTTTGTTAAAGAGTTCAGGGAGGAAATGGTATTTCAGTGTTGGAGCCTGCAGAGGCTGTGTTTTCTGAAGGTGAGGGGGTGGGTTTTGGTTTTCCTCTTATCAGGAAGAAGAAAGAAATTCACTGAGAAAGATCAGAAATTGTTATCTAATCATTCAGTTCGAAGCAAGGGTTTACAGAAAGCTTCCTGCCCAATATCATGAGGTTTGTAGTAATATGTATTTGGCAGCACTTCTTGACCATTAGGATCTGACTTTGATGTATACTGTTGTGTACTTATCTTTCTGCCATTTTATCTTTTAAATTGAATGTGGAAAAGAGTCACAAATAACATTGGCAAACTTAGGGGGAAGTTTCCCATTAAGCTAAGCCAACCTGATGGCTCGTTACTGCTGAAAAGTGATCCTGCTCGCCTTGCTTCACTGGTGGCATAACTCTTCCATCTCTTGTAGCATCAGCTCTGTCTTGCTAACCTCACTTGCCATCAGCCAGTAATAAAATCTGTGAAGGTACTAGAGATAGAGACAGTCTCTTCAAGTAGCTGTTGTTCTTTCTGCCAAAATTTAATGTTTACATCAGTGCATAGGCTTACTGGGCAGGGGATGGTACTGCAACCTGGGAATTGGATCAGGCTGAAATTTTTTTTTTTTTTGAGTTTCTTACACATCTGACAAAGTATGGTTAAAAACTAGAGAAACGATACTTCAGAGAGTGTTATTGCAAAAAAAAAAAAAAGTAATTCTGCATTACATATTACTTTAGTATTAGGTTGCATTCTGTCTTTAATTTTTTTTCTCTCTTGTCCGGCATTTTAGTGTCATGTCCACAGCACCGAGGAATATTTTGTTACTCATCTTTAACACTGTCTCTTAATACCGTGGGCTTTTTCTTGCATACTGTAGAGTGTATGCATGCTTTTTAACGTAGCTTTACCCTCTTCCTGCATTGGGAAAGCAAATTCAGCATAAAGGGAATTAGTAATCTGTTGAGCATTCTGAAATCTCTGTGTGAGGTTAACGAGTAGGGATGCAATGCGAACATGCGAAGGGGATAGCTGGGATCTGTGGGGAAAGGCTCGTCCTGTACAGCAACAGCCAAAATGCTTCTTTGCTGGCTAGTTTCCTAGTTTTTATAGGCAATTATTAGCAGGTCTTTTTGGTTTTGGGTTTTTTTTTGCCTTGCTCAGTGAGTTAGCTGTCAGTTAGGAGGAGCTCTCTTCAACAGAAGCGTTGAGGTATTTCATTGCTGCTAAAAGTAGCACAGTTGTTTTTGAGGATTGATTTATAAGAGTTAGGAATGCTCATTTTTACTATTGTTCTGGTTTTTTATGTGTTTGTGCTGGTCTGCCAACTAAAATAAATGTCCATGTGTGTTTATTGATTGTTGTAAAATACTTTGTACACAGCAAACTGGAAAAAGGACGGTCAGTTGGTTAGTTTGAGAGGCTCCATAACACGCTCAACAGTGTTTAGTTCTCCTCTGACTTCCATATGAATTCCCCACTGTGAGTCTTCGTGTGCCACAGACACCAGCGAGGGTCGGTTTCAGCAAGCGGTGCTTATCCTGGGGACAGTCCCCGAAGCTGGCACAGTGACAGCAGAACGATGGCCAGGAAGGCAGCTGCTGCACCGAAGTACCCTGAGAATTGCGGGTGGCTGTGGAGGAGCCACAGGTAAAATAACGGCAGCTCAGCAGCAGCAGCGGTGATACCTGTCACCCCAGGAAGGACTTGAAGTTGACCTCCCTGCTCAGCAAGCGGTGATCTTTGCTCATCTTCTGCATCCTAAAATGTAGTAGCACTTATATCTTTACTAGAATGGCGGGCGGCCTGGGGTGGCCACCAGCTGAAGGGTGCCGGTGGGAAGTGTGGATGCTTGTCTGTCAATTGTCTGAGATTTCAGTACCCCGTATCTTAGATGCCTCCTGGAATTCAAGGAGGAAATCAGCGTGAGTTTGTTTAGCTGCAGTGTACATAGTAACTAATGGTGATCTCGGGCAACTGCCCACTACTGGGAGAGGTGAGACCAGGAGATGCCTTTCTTTTTGGTCTTTCCTTCTTTTTTCCCCCCCTCTGTTCTCACATAGTAATAATAAAGTTATTAAAAGCTTCAATGTGGGACCCTCATTTGGTCTCATAGCTCTTATGGACATAATAAGGGCCAGAATGGTCTCTAACCAAATGGTCACTAAGAAAATCTCTGTGAATGTAAGCTGTGAAAAAGTCAGACCAGGCTTTCCTATGTCTCCTAGAGCACATGCCAGGACAGCGAAAGCAGGATCTTGCGCGTTGCAAGAAAACCCCATTCACCACAGACATCTTGAAGGTGACCACCTTGAAGTCTCCTCATTCCTTCTTGAGATGTTGCACAAGTCAAGACATCGGTTTTACCATGTTGGGCAAAGCCGTGGTTTGGTTTGTTTTGAGCCTCTCAGATGCGGGCCCTGGGTGGACTGGTCACTCTTTTGGCATCCCCAGCAGTGGAATGTGTGTGTGGACGATCAGATCACTCAGAGGAAGAGGAGAATTTACTGACATCCACATTCCAGGGCTCGCCTTTCATCTCCACCACCATGCCATGCGAAAGAGAGCGTAATTCATGTCCCACCGCTTCTAGGGACAAAGCTCGAGGGACTCCTGCTGCTTGCATCCCTTGTGTGTGTGCTGTGAATTCCTCTGAGTTTGGGTATACGAGGTACCTGCACAGCCGCCATGAAGCAGATGATACAGCTAAGGGATGTTTCAGCAGTTTGGTACTCAGGCTAAGGACATGTTCTTTTTTTTTTTTCCTGTACAGTATTCAAGAATTTGCATTCATGTTACATGGCTTGTCCATGCTAGTGGTATATAAGTGACAAAAGGCAAATGCATTAGATCGTCAACAGTCATTGACATCTTTGCAGCAATATTGTATCACCTAAGGCAAGAACCCAAGTTTTTGTTTTGGGTTTTTTTCTGCTTCTTGGGGGAGCGGGGAGAGATGTTTAATCAAACTTGGAAAATTCCCTTGGATGACAGCAGTAAGTCTAATCAGATGACAGTATTCATGTCAAACCTGTTAATTTGCTATCTTACCATTTTATTTGTTTAAAAGAGATTGCTTGACTTGTAAGCATCTGCTTAAAAACAGTTACCTTTTATGGAGTGTTGTTTATTAAGTATAGGGGACTCATTGTTCATTTGTTTCTCAAGAGTAAGGATCGTGTTCATTCTGAAGTGCCATGTGCAGTGCATCTGGTTCCTTGATATCCCATTTTAAGAATTCTGTGTTGATCAAGCTGTCTGTGTAGGTGTGTATGTATGTGCTATGTAGAAAACTCATGTAATTATACAGATAAAATTTAAATTCCTGAAGGTGGTTATTTTGATAATTGCCAGTATTAAAAAATGGATACATTAGAGTTCCTTAGTCTTATTTAAAGTTCAGACAGGTTAAACATTTTTTTTTTAAAAATCAGCTTTTATTTATTCTGAAAATATAAATAAGTCATAAATACCATCTCTTAAATATTTTAAAAGTGTAAGTTATACAACAATTTTTCTGGCTTCTGAAAACACTTTTTTTTGTTGAATACATATTAAATAAGTTGATATTCTGAATAGTACCATTAGAAATGAAATAAAATAGGTCCTTTGTTTAAATTATTTCTAAATATTGAAAATATAAATAGGAAACATTTAGAAACAAATAAATATTTTAAATACAATAAATAAGTTCCTAGAAGGAAATGAGAATATATATATAAATGCAAACCATTGTTACTATTTCTGGTTCTTAAAACAGAACAACACTGTCATCTGCCACATGACAGATTTGTAACAAAGGATTGTGCCTGAATTAAAACATTCAGACACTGAAACTCCTGGTGTTTTTCAAATAACGAACGGCCCTCACGGTTTTCTCCATAAATGAAGTAAAGTCTCGGAGGATGAGGTGGGTGGTGATTTTCTCTATCCAGGTCTTATCGGACTTCAGCTTTGCACGGAGGGATTCCTGGGTAGCTGAGTCTGGGATGATCACTTCACTGGGGTTTATCACCTGTAAAAAAAGACAATATTGAGGTGCCCTGGTTAAAACATTGTAATTGAGCTTGTTGGAGAGCATCAGTTCATATGTAGAATACATTCCTGACCAGCTGTGTATCCACCGCTTCTGTACTGCTGCCGACAGACCTCCCTGGGGCGGGTGCTTCCCTACAGCCCCGCTTCTGCAGTGGGGTTTGAGGTACCTTGATACCTGCTACGATTACTGCAGAAGAACCAAAGGGTCTCGTCTGATCTATACCATCTTTTCTGGTTTGAATGCAGCATCTGGCGTCGCGGTGCAACACGCTGCGCTGAGCAGATCGATGCACCTCTCCCGCTAACTGCGGACCATGCGGTTAGTTGGGAAGGTGCTGAACATGATTCATCCTCACCTGTACTGGCTGCTATGAGTCAAGTTAATTAGATGACATCGGAGTACTCTTACATCTTGTAGTACATGAACTGTTTCCAAAGATGTCAAACTTGTTTAGCTGCTTAATTCTTACTTTCCAGGCATTTAGGCACGTGGGAGACTGTCACCAGCTTTCACTGATGCGTGGGATCCTAACAGCAAGATGAGTAAAAGGAGCTATGTACCTAATGCTGACTGACAGCGCTGGGCAGCCGGTACCCAAGTGCCTTTTAAGAACTTGTCCTGTGAAGTGGGTGACTTCTGAAAATGGGAGTTGCTTACCCAAATCATGGAGCTGCTTTAGATGATTTGGGGTCTAGAAGCCTAACAGTAAAGTATCTGCTTCATTCTGAGTTTAGGATCTCTCCTGCCCTTTAACAAGTGACAAAAGCATGCGCACCTCCTTCTGGAAAATCTTTTTTGTGAAATTCAGTAAGATATGAATATTCTTTCTGTCCAGAGTACTTGGAAGTGGATTCTGATCACACACCCGGTTACTGGAGTATCCAAGTCCTTGTTCACGCTGTGAAAGTTTGTATCTGGATATCCAGACAGGTATCGTGCCGATGGATCTACCTGACCACAAATGACAGATTCTGCCCTTCCTCTCCTTGCCTTAAATAGCAGATAGACTCCTCTCGTAAAGAAACACTCCAACCTGGAGATCAAGACCCCTCTCTCTCTCAAAAACTCTCTAGTTTCTGCAAGTACAGGTTTTGCTATTGATCACTGTGTTTAATTCTGCCTGTTCCAATTACCTCAATCCTACTAATTTTCCAAAAAAGCTAGTCTCCCCCAGTTACGAAATGAACTTTCTGCAAACTAATGCATCAGGTTGGAAGCCAGCGGTCAGTTGCTGTCTTATGACGGGACTATTCTTCTCGGCTACCACAGTGTGAAAAAAGCAGTTCAGCTCCCTTTCACTTAAAGAATGGTGGACATAAATAAATATGTTAGGAAAGGTATGGCAAGCACACAACGGGCTTTTCAGACACCGAGAAACACCTTGAAAGAAGGAATGCCTGGAGATTTCCGCAGTCCTTACTCACCTGGGTGGTTCTTACTCAGGCAAATAGTTTCCCTGATGACAAAGGCAGTATTCATGTTAAGGGTTATTAACATGAGTAAGAACTGCAGGAATGATGTGAATTTTTGAAGTGTGATCTTTCAAAGCTCTCCAAAACATAGAAAACGACTGTCAGAAATTAATAGCATTTAGTTTACCGAATCAAAAGAGAATTGGGTATTTGTAAAAGAGGAAGATTTTTTTTCATGATGATTACAAGCAAAATGTGTGCTTTTCAGTAGGCAGCACCTTTTATTTAGTCAAGTTACTAACTTATGCTCCGAATTTAACTGTCTTCCTTGATTTTTGAGCTACTGATGTCTCAATATACCATACAGCTTGGCTTCAAAGCTTGTTTTGGAGAGTTTTAAAGATTAATAATATTGTTAAAATGTATTTGCTTTCATTTATGTGGATTTTTAAAAAAAGTTACTTATTTCTACTTCTCAGGTGGTTGCAACATTAGAAGGCTTAGACTGAACTGCAGTTCCACAATTAGGAACAAACTCCCTGAGAAATGTTATTTCTATCAGCCAGGCAGGGTTAGTGTATTTGTTCTTAAAACAATATGATGCATTTAATTGTTGGTTTGGAAATTAGAAATAACAATAGAAAGCAGGAAGGAGAGTTGTTTCTTTAAGAAAAGAAAACAAAACCGTGTAAAACCTGTAAGTCAGTCCTAAGGGTAAGTATCTGAGCATAAGGAACCTGTTTCCACTGAGAGACGTGAAAGCGGGACATGTTCAGCTTCGCAGAGCATCCTATTTCTCTGACTACACATCGGTGCCAAGCCGTAACAATTATCGGAGTGAACGTAAGACCAACTCACCATCTGTCTTAGGGTACGTGCCAGGTGCTCTGTGCTATAGCACAGCGATTCGATGTTTTGCTTTTCGCTAGTAAAAGTCTCTTGTACGTATTCAAGGTATGTCTGAAATGTGTAAAGCCCGCTGGAGATTTTCCTCAAGCATTTATCCTGCAATGAGAGAAAGGTGAGAAAGTCACTTAGAGCTCAGAAACACCTGGATGGCAACGCTGCGCAGGTAAGGGGACGATGCTTGTACAGAGAGTGGAGGTCTGTGCCACACCAAAGCCAGCTGGAGCCGGCACAGATCTTTAGGTCAACTTCTGCAGGTTTTTGGAGCAGGCGAAGATTGCCCCGGGTATATAGGATTAGACCAGAAAGGAGAGTGGTTCCTTGCCTCATCGAAGCCGGCGAGCAGACACCCGTCTTCCTCGGTCACCTTGGGGAGGTTGAGGTTGTTCTGGACAAGCATTTCCATGCTGTTCTCGCAGACGGTAAACTTCTCGCACATCTGGGGAGAGACACCAAGAGTTTTGGTCGCACCTTGTCCGGAGGCGGCCGCCCCCGGGCCGGGTGTGCGTGTGTGTGTGCGTGTGACCCC